AGCTAAGAAAATGTTTATCTCCCTGAGCTTGGCCTTCATAATTCCATTCCATCACACTTTGGCCTCTTTCTGCCAACAGAGAAACTGGTTCAGAACCCTACTAAAACAGATGTAATTGCTTCCAGGGCCTCTACAGTTTTTCCCAGACTATTGTTAGAGGGCTTCCGAGCCTACGCTGTGAAATACAGTGTTTGGGCTCTTCAGATTTTACCAAGTATACCTGCCAGAACATCCATGGACAGAAAGGCCACACTCTCTGCTGTCCAGCTGGGATTCTTTTCTTCTGGTGTTTTTTGCCCTCGTTCTTGTAAACAGGCAATGTAGCAAACCTTTGCATTCTCCAAAATCCACATGACAGAATGCTCTAGCTCCCTGAAAAAATCCCTCTATGTAAAAAATTGGCATAGTGGGGTGGAAGCTAATTGTCCCCCTCTTTTTTCCTCAAACGCAGAGAGTAGTCATGGAATATGAAAGAGCGTTTAATCATGTGCATTCTGACCACATAGTCCATAGTAGTACAATACAGATGATTTACTACCTGAACTTCTGTTTCTGCAAAGTATGTCATTAGGTCAATTCTTGTCACATTTTTTTTTTGGTATATCCACTCAAGCTTGCCATTTTGCCAGTGCCCACAGTGCAGCCACAGTAGTTGTGATCAGAGAAGTTTGGTGTCTCACTACTCTCTTTTTTGAGGTGCTAATTTTCCCTAATCCAAATGAAGGGAGGAAAAAAATATTTTCTCTTGAAAAAAATACAGATCTACCAACAGGTTGCCCAGGTTGAAACACTGCCTTCACTTCTGCTGTTGCTGATCCGTGAAATGTAGGCTATGTAAGTGGTGCAGATGTGAGGCATTCCAGGAGGAGGAGGAAAGGGAGAAGCAGCAGGCCTGCCATTTTACTTTGACCTCTACTAGTTGGCTTATGCGTTGTATTATGTGTTGCTGTATCTCCTTACCTCCTGAGCATAAACAAGGATCTCACTCAAGATGTGTTTGTTAACCAGCTTACCCTGTGGGGTTTGCTGATGTCCAGTAAGTTTTCTATCAGAAAATGCTGAAGCATATTTGTCGCATTTGCTGACATTCTTCCTTCTTACTCTTGCCTGACCTTTCCTTCTACAGCTCTCCTTTCTCAAAAGGCAAACGTGGGAAAAAATACATAGAAGAAATTGCTCTGCAAATACCTGTATCAGCAGCAGCAATGTGTACTGTACTTTTTTAACATTTAAGCTTCTGCCCCTGTGAGGTCTAGAAATGTGGGCCCATTTTATGAAAGACTGTATTTAGGTCTGCCTTCAGTATTTTTTAAAGCTAAATTAAAATGGGCTCTGTTGAGATAAACCAGAGTTGCATCTTGCCTAGTAAGATGTTTCCTATAGTGGCCAAACAGATGTCTCTGGGAAGCCCCCAAGCTGGAGATATTAATGGCACATCCTATTCCCAGCCCCCTGTATTAACTGACATTCTGTGGCATACTACTTCTAAACATTTACTCCTACTTAACATCTAACATGGAACTGCTAAGTGAGGTAATCTGTTGCCACAGGGTTTACTATTGTCAGTATGTTGATGATATTCAGTTATACATCTGCCCCAGGACATCCAAGTAAGGCTGTTGAAGTCCTGTCTCAGTCCCTGGAGGCTGTGCAGGTCAGAATGGGGCAGAACCCTTTTTGGCTCAGCCCTGGCAAGACTAGCTGTGGTTTTAGGCTCCCCCATATTTAGTGATTTTCTACCATTAATAGTTCTGGATGGGGTCACGCTCCCCCAGGCACAGTTTATGCAAGATCTGGGAGTTCTGGACTCGTTGGTCCTGCTCAAATAGGGTCTTTACACAAGTACATCTTGTGCATCAGTTGCACCCATTTCTAGATTGGTAAGCACTATCCCCGTCACTCACGCCTTAGTCACCTCCTGATTGGACTATTGCAACACACTCTCTCTGGAGCTGCCCTTAAAGAGCATTTGAAAATTCAGCTGGTTCAAAATGTGCAATGCTGGATGTGTCAAGATATGCTCATGTAACACCACTGCACTGGCTCCCAGTGGGCTTCCACATGCTATTGAAGATTTGTCACTCTTAAAGCCGTAGGTGGCATGGGACCAGGTTACTTGTGGGACTGCCCATCCCACTAGATCTGGCACAGTGGGCATGCTCCGGGTCTCACCAGTGAAGCAGCGTAACCTGGTGGGACTCAGGAACTTCACTGTCGTGGCAGCTGTCCTGTTGTACAGCCTCCTCCCTGAGGTATGGACAGCCCCAACCCTTTTGGCTTTTAGAAGGCTGTTGGAGACTTGGCTCTTCATCCAGCACCGAGGCTGGGATGCTGATGGGGTTCTGGCATGGGTGTGGTTTTCTTTGATATGCTCTTAATGGAATTTTTAGGGGGCCTGAGCCAGTTTCTTTTGAATTGGATTTATATAGTTTGGTTATGTTTTGTTTCTGTTTATTGCCCAGAGCTCCTTGGGTAGATGAGAGGCTATATGAATGTTTTAAGTAAATAAATAAAGCATGGGAAGGCATGATTTTCAGAGGGTGTGTGCCCTTTTTCCAGTATAGCACAAAATCATCCAAAAAACTAAACCCAAGCTCTTTCACACATAGCAGCAGCAGCAGCAGTAATCTGGCCTTTAGGCCACCTTTCCCTAATGTGGTATTTTCCAGATGTGTCAGACTTTAACTCTCAGTCACAGAGGGTACCAGGCTTGAAGTGGCTTTGTGAAAGATGAGTTGAAGACAACCCAGGCAGATTTGTGGTCCTACTGTGCTATTTCTGTGTTCCAGTTTTGGGACAGATGAGAAACTTTGTTAGTTGAGATCAGTACCCTAAAGAGCAGTTGGAAATATTTAATTTTTTTTATCCTGCCTTTATTATTTTTATAAATGACTCAAGGTGGTGAACATACCAAATGCTCCTTTCTCCTCCTATTTTCCCCACAACAACCACCCTGTGAGGTAGGTTGAGCTGAAAGAAAGTGACTGGCCCAATGTCACCCAGCCAGCTTTCAGGCCTAAGGCAGGACTAGAACTCAGTCTCCTGGTTTCTAGGCCAGGGCCTTAACCACTAGACCAAACTGGCTCTCATTTTATTGTATGATAGGTTGAAACCTGGATTTTCTTTTCTTTTTCCCCTTCAGACCGCATTGCAGAGCCACCTCGTGAACCTGAAGAGAGTGATGAATTTGAGTGACAAATTCAACAAACACAGGATCAAAGTTCTCACAGCGCTGACAGCACTTTGCAGATTACAGGGTCTTGCTATCCTCCTTTGGATAGTATGCCTGGTCCTTAGTTGGTATCATTGATCCTCTGTGGCACGTGTTTCTGGTAGAACTTGGCTTCAGGCCAGCAACCTGCCATAAATGGAAGTCGCCATTGGAGTCTATCTGAGTGGAGATCAAGCCCGTACCTCAAAACTGGAGGGGTGGGAGTGGTGATGATGTGGGTTTTCACAGTTACGATCTGTCCCATACAAGCTCCTCACTACACACTCCTTTTTATTGAATTGATAAAACATTTTATATATTTGTAAGTTGTCAGTATCATTTAGTCTACAGATTACATTTAGTTATTGGCAGGGTGTGTGTGTTTGCTGTAGTTATAAAGAAGACTGCCTCTCCTTGCTGTGGAAGAGGAAACCTGGAGAGCAGAAACTTTGTCCTATCGGGGGGGGGGACATGCAAGCAGAGTCCAGTTAGGCATTTTCCGAATTTTTGACACACCGAGCCCAGAAGGTTTGCCATCACTGTTCTAGAGAGACATATATAAACCAATATTTTTTTTCTTGTCCTATGTGGTTTTATAAAACGTTATCTTCAACAGGAAATAAACCAAATGACACTGTGTAGACTTCACCAACTATCCTCACTCAATGGCTTTTTGGAGGAACCAGCATATTTTTAGCAGACTTTTTTTATTCTTTCAAACCACATTATGTTCCTGTCTGTTACAGTAAGATTATCCTTTGATTAAGACTGTTCATTAAGATCATAGATTAATTCACTGAGAGCTTAGCTGATGTCTGCTCAGTAGGGTAAGGAAGAGAAAAGCACAATGGAACTGCAACACATCGCATATCTTGGACCAAAAATGACCAGTGAGCCGAGAGAAAAGTGCCCACTGGGCCAGTTCCTGATCCCACACCTTGAGGCTTACAAAGCCCAAGCAAGAGATCGTCCCCAGTACTATAATCCAGGTGGAACTAGCATTACCCAAATGTGTCTGCACTTTTAGTACTGTCCAAAAAACAACAAATATATGTCCACCCAGTGCCAACTCAAAACCTTGCGGGTGAAGCAGTGCCAGAACATAGCTAGTCAGTGAAGTTGCTTCAATGGCTAGAAAAACATGTGGTTGCCACCCATATTCAAGAAAGAGGCACCAAACAATAACCCAAGCAAAAATCGGTAGTGTTAACAACTGATCTAACACAGCTGCCCAATGATGCTGGGTCCATAACCGGACCCATTGTGTAGGCCCATATACAAGCGCCATGAGGGCAAAGACCTCCTGAAAGTAGCAGGTCTGCCTGTTCTTGTCACCTGGTGGCCACCAATACCAACCCAGAAGTACGTAGGCCAAGTTGATTAAGCAATTTGCTGGCATAGCTAGGAAAGCTGGCATTCCAGCCACAGTTGGTTCAGCGTAATGCTCATAGCCAATATCTGTGTGAGCACCATCAAAAATTCCTGAAGCCACTGCTACTATGCAAAGCAGCAGGCCTCCAGTCACATGCAGGAATGGCTTGTTGTCTTCTGACTTCATAGCTGTCCTTTTCATGTCTTGAGCCTTCCTCTGCACCACTGCCAAGCTACTGCCACTGCTGCAAGTGCTCTGTTTCCCATCAGTCATTCGCTTGGTTTTGCAGAACCGGTGACCAGGTCAAGTCCCATTCCTCCTAGAAGAGCTCACAGAAGGCAAGAAGAGAGCATGAAACGGATGACACAGCTGATTAGTTTCTCAGGATGAGTTTACTGTTCAGGGTGGACTTTGATGCTTTCCCCACTAATGGTGCACAGGAAGTGAGTGGGTGAATATTCATGTCAAGGAGAACAGTTAAACTCTTCTCTTAGAAACCTGAAAGCTTGCTGACATTTTCCATTGCCCAAAACATTCATCTGCCCTCTCCTGCCCAAACAGCCAACAGCTTGAGACTCTTCAAGCGAAGGCCCAGCGTGTATTCTTGCCAGCTCCCATGCTCACACAGATTCTAGTGTTTACTGTTAATGAAACAGCTGTAGTGGCAGGATTGGCTATTGGTGACATCACTGCGTAGTGGGGGGAAATGTGGGCGGTAGGGTTGTTTCCTTCCCATGATCTTGTGTTTTGTAGCCATGGAGACAGCAAGTGTTAGATAGTAAGCCTAGAGAACTCCTTGAGCTCAGGCCTGCAAAACTTTCTGTTCTCCAGTCTTTCTTGTAAACAAGTTGCTTTCATACATGTCGGCTTTGCAGGCACATTTACTGCACCCTGTTAGAACAGAAACCTGTGGCATTATTTGAAAAAGGTATTTCAGAAGTAATTTAGTACTGGGAAGAGATTCAGGTGGGAAAAAAGTTTGATGATGATGATGATTTAGGTAGGGGAAGAAAGATCATCTCCAGACCAAGCTTGGCTCCTGGTGACCACATGGACCCAGACCTGAGATTTTCCTGGCAACAGCATGCAAGTTGCTTGCCACGGCCTTGTAACCTGACTCCCCGCTCTGACATACAGCTCTGCTATCCCCTGGAGATGCCCCAACCAAATATGAAGCAAGCCCTGCTGAGCTTCCAAGTTCCACAAAGTCAGCAAGGTGCTGCAGCCCTGGGATTCCTCCATCCAAGTCCTAGACCTGTCCAAACCTGCCTGTTTTTTTGAGATCACTCCAGGGCAGCTAGATGCTGCCACCTAGCTGGGATTCAGGAAAAGGCTCCCAATTAGGGCGTGCAAAAAGATAAAGGGAAAAAAAAAAAGAAAATACTGTACATTGTGCATTTGGTTCAACAGGAAAAACAACAACACTCCCCTGAAATTCTGATAATACCATTTTGGATGGTCCATCCAATACAAAATCTGCATGGAGCCTGGAGAGTCTACAGGGAAGACAAGGCAATACAGGGGTACATCGCCACCTTTCCCCATACACCAAACCCCAGGGTGAGGGTCCAGCTGCCCCCTCTGATGTCTCTAACGTTTTCCCTCTGCTGCCTCCCTTCCCTTCCCCTCCCCTCTCCCCCCACCAACGTCTTTGGCTTTTCCCTGCTTTTCTGCTTTCAGTCCATAATGCAGGACAAAACAGCCCATTTTGGTATCTAGGCCAAACACAAATGTTTTAGGCCAGCACAAACCACCCAAACTCAGTTGCTGTGTGTAAAGAGTGGTTCATGCACCAATGGCTTTACAGAACCCTATTCCCAATTAACACTATCTTCAGATCTAGGGGATTTTTATTCAGGAAACATCTAGTTGTAGAAGTCCTCTTCATGTATAATCTACTTTTCCTCTAAGCTGAAGGGAGTGTATATTTGTATGCTTGCAACCACTCTGTGAGGCTTATTCAAAGAGGGGAGACAGAGTCACCCAGGGAATTTCATGGCTCAGGGACATTAATTTTCCTTGGTCTTTGTCTGAACCCTATAGACGTCCCAGTATTGCTCAGCTACAGCCTCCAGCTTCTTCATTATTAACTATATTGTAGTTCAATATCATTGCATAATCCAAGGTTCCCTGTCCCTACACCTTAAAAGTGTGTTTCCAAACATATACTTGCCCAAGGTAATGACTCTTAGAGAAAGGAGACATTTTGTGGTAGAAACCGATAGGCGAGAGTGTCAATTTTTGTCTAAAATATTCATCAATAACAAAAATATAATTCGTTTAAAAATAAAGCAAAATTCACACCAGAGTGGATGAACTGCTAAGGAGCAAGTAGAAGCACCCACTTAGAGCACTGAGGCATAAGGGACAAGTTTTCCATTAGAAGCTGAATCAACCCTGATGATCAATGGAGTGACAAATATCACAGCAAGATTGCCCTCACATTATTAGACAATTTTACTCAACTTGAAAATGACATTGGAAGCAAAATTATAAAATAATGGCCCATCTACAACAGCCCTGTATTCTTTGGGTTTCCCAAAGCTAAAAAAGTTGCCAAACAGCAAATAACATATTGATTTGCAGAGGGAGAATGCTAGGTGCTTCCTTTCTTTGGGGAATGTGAACCTGAGCGCAATGTCCCTCCTAAATAAACTTGCCACTGCAAAAAGTCCAGCATGTTTACACCAGCATATTTTAACATTACTTTCAGCCTCACTGGAAGGAAGATACCAACAGATTCACTTCAAAGAGCGGCTTTGTCCCTGCCATTCCGGAGCAGTTGAAACCGCAGCTCACATGTTCCTGTACCGCCAATGTTATGATGAAATTCATCACCTGTATTTAACTTCACTTCTAAGTAAGTTCCCTGGTAGACCAGGCAACCTGACATTTCATTTCTTCTCACAATTTTTACATGACATCATTTACCAAGATATAAAAGAAAACTACACTCCATTTTAAAAGAATAACTGAGTATATTTTTAGTTTTATCTTTATCTTAGTAAAGTAGTAGTATAATTCAGTAATGATAACATTTAACCTTTCAGCATTTTAGTACTTGCATTCTATTCCCACATTTTAGTTTCTCCTCATTTAATCAGAAGTTTTAAAACATTTCTATTTGAGCTCTGCAAACCCTATTACAAAACTATGTACTATTCTGGTCAGTAAACAAAATAAAAATATTCTGTTCTCTTCCATCAAATGTTATTTTTGAAGAGTCATGGATGTCTCCTCGGAACGAACCTTCCTTTCCCATTCTAACCCCAAATAAACAGAAACAACACTTAACAGCCACAGAATGATTGAACAAAGGTTCACAACATTTAGGAAGGGAGGGAGAATGCAAGATACAATTGGTAGAAGAAGGTACAGGAAAAAGAGAATAAGTCATAGACTTCTAAGAAGAGTCCATCCTTGCACAATCTTGGTTTGAATGAATAACACTGAGGCTGTGTTTGCATAACACTCTTACTCATAATTAACTGAACAATGATTTACTGATTAACCCAAAGTCCAGGTTTGTACACCACACTGAAGCATAAATGAATCACACGAGTTTGTTTCATGTAACACCATGATCCGCAAGCGTGACAAATATATATTAGCCGTGCGTATTGCACAAATCCACCCTGTGACAATCAATCATGCTATCCTTAGAAAAAGAGGGACCAAGCAACACATTTAGTAGAGTTATCACAGGAGAAACTGGTGAGAAAGACAAACTTAGTGTTGTATATATCTACAGGAACCAATGTCTCCACAAGGACAGCTACATAATACATAGGGATGTCCAGGATCAGATCATGAATGTTACACATTTCCTAAATTGCAATCCAAAGAATGTATATTTCAAATGTAGCTTTTACATGAACCTTGCGCATTCTTATGGAAAATTAAAGAATGAGTGGGGGGAAAAAACAGAAATGCTTTGAGGAGTCAGTTTAAGTTTAAAAATGCATTAATAAAAGAATTCCAAAGTGTTTTGCAAAATTTATTACATGTTTTAATTTTTTTAACATTTCACTATTTATTACTTATTTATAAACCAACCAAGAGCTGAAACTCTCTGGGAAATGTACAATAAAACACACTAAAAATGCAATTTGAATAAAAATGTATAAAATAAAATACAATAAAAATATTACATAAATTAGGCAGCTGTTATTCAAAAACTAAAACAGTATGGACTAAAATACAATTAAAAGCCAGTTAAAAAGCCCAGGAAAATACAAAGATCTTCACCTGGAACCAAAATGGTGCTAATATAGGCACCAATGAAGACCCTCTGGGGAGGGAACTCCATAAATGGGGTGCCACCACAGAAAAATCTCTCCCCCTTGTAGAGGTCTGGTTCACCTCCCTTGGTGAGGGGACCTGGTGGACCAGGGCCTCAACTGATAATCTTAAGGTCCTTGTAGGCACATACAGGAGAAGGCACTCCTTCAACTAAACCTGGTCCTATGCAGTTTAGGGCCTTAAAGGTCAAAACCGGCACTCTGACTTGAGTTCAGAAATGGACTGGCAGACAATGTAGATGACAAAGAACTGGCATCATTAAGTTCACATCAGCCAGTCCCAGTAAGCAGTTTAGCTGCTCTATTTTGAACTAACTGAAGTTTGCAGACCATTTTCAAAGGCAGCCCTATGTACAGCACATTGCAATAATCCAACTGGGAAGTTACCAGTGTGTGAATAACTGTTATGAAGCTGTTTCTGTCCAGTAAAGTCACAGTTGGTAAATCAGCCAAAGCTGGTAAAAGGCACTCCATGCCATCAAGGCCTCAAGTGGCAGGGATTAATCTAGGAGCACTCCCAAACTCTGAACTTGCTTCTTTAGGGCAAGTTCAGACCCCTCCAGGACAGGCAGGGCACCACTCAGCTTGACAGATGCATCACCCACAATCAGCATCTCCGTCTTGTCTGGACTGAGTCTGTTTATTGGCCCTCATCCAATCCATTACCCTGCCCAAGCACTGGTTCAAAATGCCAACTGCCCCACCTGTGTTAGATGAAAAGGAGATAAATTGGAGTGTCATCTGCATATTGATCAGCCCACAGTCTCTCCCAGTGACCTCTCCCAGTGGTTTTGTGTAGATGTTAAAAAGCATGAGGGATAAAGAGGAGCCCTGGGAGACTCCATTATCCAACCACCATGAGGCAGAAGAGTAGTTGCCCAGCATCACCTTCTGGAAACAGCTAAGTAAGAGTGGACCTACCATAATACAGTGCCCCCACATCCCAACTCTGACAGCCTATCTAGGAGGATACCATGGCCAATGATATCAAAAGCTGTTGGGAGGTCCAAGAGGACCAATGGGGTTGCACTCCCCGTCTTTTTCACAGTGCGGTTCATCCCACAGGATGACCAAGGCAGTTTCTGTTCCATAGCTAGGTCTGAAATTGGATTGAAAGGGATTTGGAAAATCAGCTTCATGCAAGAAAGCCTGGAGTTGATTTGCCATAACCTGCTCAAGCTCCTTGCACTACCGTAAGAACTTCCACTTAGTGGTTTCTTTCAAACCTCCATTTTACCTTTCTGATGTCAGTTAATGCTTTGTTTTGTCTTTTTCCTACCTGTGATTTCAGGCCTGCTGGTGCTCTACTTTACACAATTATAACCGTTATCTTTTAATTTCTGTCCATGGCTTTTTCTAGCCTGTAAGATAACCAGTATCTCAAAAAAGAATGGTTGCCATTTATTTTAATACTTCAATATCTGACTCGTATTAGTCCTATATTTAAGAAAAAACAATTACAATTATTCTCCCACTAATGCTATACTGTACATTATATCTTCAATAGATTCGTGTTTTGCAAAACAGATCTCTGTTGCCAGCTTTGTAAAATCTTGTTGCTCATGGGATATAAACATTAAAAACTTGCTCTGGTTGAGGAAATAAAGCCTTGTACAGTGAAATTATTTTCAAAATATCCTCAGGTAAAATGCATACTTGGACAGAAAGTGATTGGACAGAACTATAAGGAAATTTGGCATAGCACAAGGCAAAAGTACAATCAGTTCATACCTACTAAACTATGTATATCTATGTACCCTTTTGCAGTGGCATCATGGAGCCACTTTATTTTTCTGTTAACCTGTAGATAGCAAATGAGTGTGTATTTTAAAAAAGAGAAATAGACCTATTTTCTTCTAGGAAAAATGCAACTTAACAGGGGTCAAGCCCATGATACTTGAGACCTAAGAAGAAAATGATAGTCATTCCTCTGATTCCACTAAAATATATCACATATCCATAGAAGAATTCTCAACAAAACTCCTGTGCAGGTAGAGCACTGCAGAAAGCAGGCTTCCTGGCACTCTGTATGCCAAGGGTCAGATCTGTAATAATCTGCTTTCTCTGATCCAGTGCCTCACCTTGTCTTACAGCACTGCCCTCCAGTGTTCTGCATTTCTATTGCATTTCAATAACTGCATTTTTTACACTGTCAATACCAAGATGTTAAGCAGCACTACTTTTTTAATGTAATCATTTTCTAAACGTTAATATTACAGTATTGGCATTTCTTGCATTTTATTTCCTTATGTTTTCTCTATGTTCCATTATAAACACATCTTTGCCAGTTAAGTGAGACATCTCTGATAAAACTGATTCTAATCTACACAAACGTATGCCCTAACAAATTTGTAAATCTTCAAAATGCCACAAAACTGTCTATTGCTTTTTCCTATTGCACAAGCAATTCAAAGTTACTCTTAGTAGAACTATACAAAGAAACCCAGCATTTCATTTCATTGATTTGCTAAAGCCACTCAACTAAAAAAAAAGACTCTGGGGGATTTACCAAATATACACAAGCACCCTAACTCCAGGCCTGGGAGCATAGCCAGGTCTTAAGGGAGTTCCAGAACATTTTTATTGATGGATTATATTTATATGCCACATGATTCCCAGTGACTAGGAGAGATATTTGGAGAGTGGAAGCCATAGGTACCTCCAGGGGATGCGGTTCCAGAGGGCAGGGGCTGTGACAGAGAAGGCATGCTTTCTCAGTCCCGCAAGATGACATTTCATTGAAGAGACCTGGAGTGCGCCCACCCTGCTTGAGCATACCAGGTGGGCAGAAACAACTGGAGACAGGTGGTCCCTCAGATAGCCATGAAGGGCTCTCTGGGTGATGACCAGCACTTTGAATTGCACCCAGAACCAATTACCCTTGTTATATGGTATTTTTCCTAGAAGAAATGGACAACTAATGCAGCTCACATAACAGTAATGACACATGGCATAACTTGAAACTGCATGGTGAAAACAGAAATAGATTCAGCCTACAGTTATGGATGAGTGCCTATAGCAATCTGCAATAGTTTCTCCCTTTACCTTTTATGCTAGATATTCCAACCACTATGTACTTAGCAGTCATCCACACCTTGAGATGGATGTCTTTCAAATCAGGAGATGAAACCCAAAATTGTTGTCTAATATTTAAAAGCGGAAAACAAATATTTCAGTATGGAGAAACAAAGAATGGCAAACTATCTGAGAAATACTTATAGTGGCATTAAGATTTTATTTAGACAGTAGATACATAACCATAATAAATCAAAATACTAGTACAGGCATAAAGCAGGAAAACAAAATACTGTATGCCCAACCAGGTTAAGGGGAATTGCGTTAATCAAAAAATGCTTAATGTAGTTGTACTGGGCCATCTGAGTTGGTTTCCTAATCTCTTCAAAGGTACAGTTTACAGCCTTCTGTCACAATCTCATTATGAAACAGACACCCGCTTCCAACTGTGCAGACTATACAGAAAGAAACAAATGTGACAATAACAGCAACCAAAGGTAGAAAAAAAGCTTTTGTATGATGATGATGTTGAAATCCTTAAAATTTAGCCCACTCCTTGTTCCCATCTGCTTTTTCTGTTGTTTAAAATTATTTTTTTAGGTATATATTACGTTCCGACCTGAATCTTAGTGGTGACCTTTAGTTTTAGATAAATATACTCCATGGATGAGGGAAAAAAGCGAGTATAGATTAAGCAGAAAAACAAGCAAAAAGACTTATTCTTACTATAGAAGAAAAACTCCTGAATACAAATTATTTATTTTGAACTCATCAGATATTCCGTTTCTCTCCAGGCTTCGTACCTTCTGATCATAAGTATGCATTGAATTGGTATTTATACCTTCAGCAAGAAAAATTAGCAAAGATTCATGATCTTGCTTCATCCCTTTACAATACATAAATAATTTATTTCCAATTTTAGACACTTTACCCCATCCTCCCTTCCCTGGGATGCCAGTCAGGAATTTAACATACATACTTAAAATAAAAATAGAACTGCTCTAATTTATTATTGCTATACAGAACAGGAAAACAAATTTGGGATCAATGGGCTACTGATAAATAATAACACAGGAGACACAGTGTGATCAGCAAATTCTTGTAACAGATCATCTACAAAAGTATATGAATTCTTTCTAACAGGATGGCTACTCTCTGCTTCAAACACAAAACACTTTCATATCATTTGTGAAATCATCCCGTATGTATTGCATTTGATATAAAAGGTTTTCTTATTTCTAAGCATAATTAAATATATTCCCACTTCTGGTTCTGATTTCTAAGTCATTTTCAATCATTATAGCTAAAAAATTCTCTCCTCAGTCACGCTTATTTCAACAGTTATTCAGTTATCGGCATTATTTACCAAACTACATTGTTAGATACTGTTTTACATGGTAATATAACCAAAAAAGACAAGCCCCTAGCTTTGGGAATCTTAGTACTGGGTGATGAGAAATAATAGAAAAAAGTAAAACAGGAGACTATTCAAAATACAGGTATAGCTAATTTTCCTCGATGTACAGCAGTACATCTAAATTACTGTTCCAAGCCAAAGTCCCTACAGTATTATATTATCTCATAATTACTCGTAGTACGTAAAGCTTGCAACTCTGATTGACTTAGACATAAGCCCCATTCACTTACTTCCGAGTAACCATGCAGAGGACTAGGCTGATACCTAGTGGACAGGTTTAACAGATTTCAGCGCAGCGTAATCCTCTGCAGGTGGGCTCCAAAATGAATCCTTCGGGATTCACGGGGGCTTATTGTTAGGCCACTGCGCCCAGGGCGGAAGACAATTGGAAGGTCAGGAAGGGAGCGAAACGGACAAACAAGAAGCGCTTCCTTATCGCGGGCGGGTAGCCCGCCAGCCCAACATAGCCGGGAAGGGCCTATCTGGGAGAGGTTTCTGCGCCTGCGCCTTGAGACCAGCGGGCCCGGGGAAAAAAACTCGAGTAGTTGATAAGATCGTGTTATTATTTTTATGTCCATATGTTCTAGTAATATAATCTTTCTCTGTTCAAGAGAAACTCGATAACGATAAGTAAATAAGTCTCCTAAAGATCCGTATCGTAGTAACCGAACGTCTGAATCGCCATCTTGAGTAAACCAATTCGTACAGCCCCTTCGAGCAACGGCTTTGGTCATGCTGGAAAACCAGCGTCACGACAGCGCTCTTATTCATTATTCCTAACGCGTCACGTTAGTTCCTGTCTTCAACATCCGGGAACTCAGCCCGTTAGCGCCATCTTGTTGATTTCCGATCCGTATAGCGCTCGCCATCTTGGTTCCTTTTTGGGTCACGCCACCCGCTAGAGATTTCAGCTAGCGCCATTTTGGGGCTCTAAAGCAATTCGCATGGGGCAAGCGATCGTACATTTCGATTACCCGAGGATTTAAGAATCCGTGTTTAATCGGGAAAGTATACCCAGGAATATAGCACGGGGGTTTATTGATTCCAAGGAAGCCATTTTTGCCGAGCATTCAGCCCATCCGGGTATTTAAGAAGCAGCCATCTTGAATGCGTATTTGTCCGCAGAATCCGGGAATATGAGAACCGCCATATTGAATCGCACATAACACAGGGCGGCTACATACGGGCATTGGAAAAAGTCGCCATTTTAATGCTCGAAAGGGAGTAGATACATCCGGGAACTTTGTGGGGCCGTTTGTATTTTTTTTTTTTATTTTGGGATAGTGATGGCAAAGGGGTGGATCCAAAATGGCAGCTTCCAGGAAAGCATGAAACCTGGAATTTTATCATCATTCCCTGAATTATATAAGCCTGGCTGAATTCCGAATCGTCTCATTCAATTCCTTGAGATTCGGGATAAGATTCAGGACCAGGAACATGTATAGAAATCAAAATAGCTTTTGCGGAAAAGAGAAGTTGGTGCAGTACTGAGCATGAGTAGGTCACGGGTGCTATCCTAACAGCTGGATGACATGCGAAAATCCAATGCAGGATTATTCACGTGTGTCCGCGAAGCAAACGCTGCGTTAATTTTTATCCCCAAAGATGGCGGCGCCCATAGCGTTGCTATGCAGTAAAGCACTTGCTGAGAGGTGGAGGCTTATCGCGCCTCCCCAAAGCATTCGTGGCCGGTACTAGTGGGAAACCCGATTATTGGAGGAGCAGATTTTTTTAAAATGCAACAGGGCGGAGTTTCGTATTCAAAATGGCGACACACACATAACATTTGGAGAGTTTACATAGTTTACAGCAGAAAAGACGCCGACAATCGTCTTGAGCTTCGAATAATAATAAAAAAATACGGCGAAGCCGGGCCAGAATTTCCCTTCCACCCGCGCTTCACAAAAGAAAGAGGGGGAACACGGCGGTTCCCCCAACATGGCGGTGCCCAAGCAGCCCTGCCCACCGAAAATGGCGGCGCCCTGGTGGGAGGGGTTCCGTACAGAGGCCTCGTTTTGGCTCCGCCTCCAGGCGCTGCCGAGGAAGAGAGACTCCTCACAGGCGCAAGATGGCGGCTCCCAGGGCCGGGCTCTGAGCGGGGGCCGGAGGGGGGCGGCAGAGGGGCCCTGCTACGAGGGGGGAGGAGTAACTGCCCCACGCGGGGTAGTTCCCTCGCAAGGGGAATTGGTGTTGGTTTTGAAAAGGCAGGAGGCAATTGGGGTAATTTTGTATGAGCCCCCCTCTTATTGCAAGGGAGGGTGTCTGCTCCATAGAGATTTCTGTATTCCGGTCGTGGGGGGAGAGATACGGTCATCGAAACTCATTGTCGGAAAGGGAGCCGTAGGAGTTTTTCAGTAACGGGGTATGACTCTAAGCTGTGACTGCCCCACGAAATAAAAAAGGCAGCTACTTGTCCCGCCAAGAGTTTTTTTGGGGGGGGGGTAGGTTTTTTTTTTTTTTACTTTTCCTTTTCACAACTACTCCGAATTAGTTTGTTTGCAGCAAAGGAGGTGACTGTGACCCGGTGCCCACGGTGACGGGGTGTCTTAGTAGTTAGAAGAGTTGCGGGCGTCCTGCCCCACTGGGGAGGACCGCTTTGCTCTGTCCTCTAAAAAAGTGAAGCTGGTGTTGCTTCGACGAACAGCCTTACCTCGAGAGAGGTAGAGTGCATGTGGCTTAGGGGGGTCTTTTTTGAGCCATCACTTGGAAAGCAAAACTGATAGGAAGTCCTTTCACTCTGTTGTTTTAGAGGACTGATTGCTAGAAAGGATACTTATTGAGAGTTAGGAGGTGCTTTCTATGGCCTCTCCTGTTGTCCCTAGTGGGGGCTCCCCAACAGGTGGTGGGGCCACTGCAGGGCTGCTGCAGCCCCGCTGGAAGCGAGTGATTGGGTGGTCAGGCCCTGTGCCTCGGCCCCGACATGGACACAGAGCTGTGGCAATCAAAGAGCTGATTGTGGTCTTCGGAGGGGGCAATGAGGGCATCGTGGATGAGTTGCATGTCTATAATACAGGTAAGGGGGGGGCTGAATGGGCAACAGTATTTAGGGTATTCATAGGACCAGGGAATTACCCCATTTGTGTCCAGTGGGCAAAAGATTGTCTATGATTGGTCCCAGAGTGATTTAATTCTCTGTGAACATATGATCTCCAATATCTTGTGTATAGAAAAAAAAGTGTCTGCAACTACTGCTGTATATTAGCAACTATCTATAAGACCCATTAAATTTGTTGAATGCTTTCACTCTCTCAAAGGTTCATATTGGTATATGAAAATATAAATGATAGAGGAGAGAACTGTAAAGATGAAACAATGGTAAAGTCCTGTTTCTCTTGAATTTTCTTCAGCCTTTTCAGTGTGATAACTGGCATATGCCTTGGAACAGCTCTTCTCCATTAGATGGAATCCTAGCACCTTCACACTGGATACTTTTTCCTTTTAGATGTTCGTGCTTGGCTTGCAGTGTAGGAATTAATTTACCTTTGGGAAAGGGACATAAAGCTATGTTTTTTGTGGAATGCCCATCAGACTATAGCAGAATACCTTAGGATTATTTTGTGGAAACAGAGCTCAAATCATCAGTCCCATAGCAATGTGGGAAGTGGAGGAATGAATAGCTGGCAAAAAGAGAAAGATCTCTGCCAGCTTGATTGAAAGAGAAAAATTCTAGAGAACTGTCCATGAAGCCCATGAACCAGTTTAGAACATGGCACGGGGTGCCTTGAGGACACAAAGTTCTTGTCCTTTCATATTAACCTGGTGCTTTGTGAGTAGCCATGCAACTTTGCTTGGCATGGTAATTTTCTCTCTCCTCCCAATGTTAATACAGTATTTTCCCCCATGGACTCTCAAATGCACTCATGTGATGAGATGGCGGGGCACTAGTTGAAGGAGCTTTTCCTCCCCAAAGACTTGGCGCGTAAAATTCAACTTTCGAATTCTGCAGCTTTTAACTCCTTGTTGCCTGTTTTTTTTCCCTCTTGGCTTGAATGCGTAAAACAGAACTGAGCTGACAAATAGTGCTGTGGTGTAGGGAGCAAGTGCCGGAACATTTCACCTTATAGCTATATGAGAGGGGTCAAGAGACCCTTATCTCCAGTATCAAGCTATTACTTCCTGGAGTCTCAATTCTGGTTTGAAATTGCCTAAAATAATTCAGCACCCTGGGTTTAAATTCTTCCTAATGCCTATTGGAAAAGTTACTTTCTGTCCCTGCAGATATATGCCACCCATAGTCTTTGTCTATATTTTTTATTAAAGGTTGGGGGCTTGTAAAGTTGAGGCTTTACAAACTGGAGAGGGGTGGTCGAGATAGATGGTCTCAAGATCAATGGTGCTTATCTAGACTTTTGAATAAATTCTAGGAGACTACAGTTAGTGACAATAGAGTTAGCAGTTTTTCTAGAGAAAGAGGGCTGGTTGGTAAAGACAAGACTTGGTTTACCAGTCTCATTCTGTCTGCCTTTCAGCCTCGGTAACATGGCACAGTAAGGTTAAGACATCTACTCTGCCAGTAGCTGGAATGGTAAAAGTAGCCTTGCCAGTGTAAGGTTGCAGAGGATAACTACAAATGAAGATATTAGTTTTGAGAATTAAATGGAAGAATTCAGATTTTCACACTGTTAATGATCTCATTAACCCTCATATGAAATAGAGACCTAATCATATTTTAAAACTATGGAACTTTTAAGACAGATATATGTGAGCAAAGGCATAATAAATTCAGGAACATTGTGTATTCTGAAAAAAAGAATTTTCAAACTCAACAAAAAGTTTAATAAACTCAAAGCAGAAAAATCCTCTCTAGCAAAGTATTCAGATAATTTTTAACTTTTGTTTGAAATTGGCTTTTCCTTTTCTTGCATGAATAAAGCATAGAATCTGTTTTCCCCTTAGAAGTTGCAGTCTTGAATTTAGTACTGTACTGTACAGGTTTTTTGCTTTCTGCTTTTTGCATCTTTAGTGCTTTCATGCCACTGTTATGTTGCTGCGAATGCAGCCATTGAGTCAAACAACATGAAAGTATCTTTTAGGTAACTAACTACGTACTTGCCAAAAGTTTGTGGTAGAAGTGCTAGATTGGGAGGCCTGTCAGAATCCCAGTAAATGCCAGTGAGATGTTCTAGTCAGCAATGCTGGCTAAAGGGAAGGGACTATAACTAGCTGAGTCCAAGAATAAGTATGTGGGATGAAGCAGTGTTGGGCTGGCA